ACACTCGCCTGCCCAGTCCCACTGTCACAACCTATGCCTCTCACACAGCCTGGGCAAGAGTGGCACCACAATGACCGTCCACATGATGGTTGGTGCAGGGGTCACCGGGGCAGGCTTGGGGGCCGAGGGCATGGAGGGCCTTGATCCCCTCACTCTCCCTCCTGAGTCCTCCCTAACCTCCTCCTTCCCTCCTCACCGCCACCCCCACCCTGTCTCCTTTGCTTCCTCCTCCCCCTCCTCACTACCCTCTGTCCTCCTTTTCTTCCCCCTCCTCCCTGTCCTCCTCCTTTCCTCCTCCTCTTCCTCCCCCCCTTCCTCCCTCCTCCCTGTCCTCCTCCCCCTACTGGCACAGACACAGGGCCGTGCACACCCAGGAGCCTTCCCAACAGTCAGCCCTCCCCGCCCCCACAGTGTGTGGCCCAGGATTGCACAACAGTCACTGTGGCCCTCAGGGCTGGGCTTGGGGGACTGGGGCAGCCTTGGGATCCCACCCTACCAGGAGACACTCAGAGTGACCCTGGAGCTTGCAGAGAGGGCTGGGGGGCCTAGGGACGGCCCAAGGAGCTCTGCCACCCGTTCAGCTCCACCTGGAGTTCAGGATTGAGAGGTCAGGGGTCAGAGACAGTGGGCCTGTGGCTTTCTTGAGGCAGAATTGGCTCTTCCTGAGACAACCTCCATCACCCTCTGCCTGCGCCGCCCCCTTCATGGTCCCAGGTGGGAAGGGGTGTCAGGGTGTGGATGCCACAGCGGGCTGGCTGGTCCTGCCTGGTCCTGCCTGTGTCTGGCCAAGTGAGGAGGCCAGGAGCCCAGCACTGAGCCTGCCCCTCTGGGTTTCCAGGTAGTGGAGCCTCGATGCAGGATGTCAGCCTGACTCTGGTCGGATTGGTGTGATGTCAGGCCTGGGGTGACTCCCAGCCTCCTGGGGTGGCTCTGAGCTGGGGCACGGTGGGGGAAGGGAGCTGCCTCTAGGCCAGGAAAGTGGAGTCAGGAGGGCATCCTGCCAAGCCCTTCCCGGCTCCCCTCAAGCCTCCCTACTCCTGAGAGGTCATGGGGTGGGAAAAGGGAGAAGGGTCCTCTCAGAGGGACCCTGGTCTGATACCTGCCTCAGGCTGCAACTGTCACTGAGAGTGAGGAGCAGTGGCGATCTGCTTCTCTTCTCAGGGTCCCCTGGGGTTCCCACTTTTTCACCCCCAAGATCCAGTCCCTGTCCTTGTCCCAGCCTCAGCCCCCATTCAAACTTGTCACATGCTCACCCCAGGTCCCACCCAGCCCCAATCTCAGTCCTGACCTTGTCCCAGCCCTGTCCCCTGCCGCGCCTCTCCCTGAACTCCAGCCCTGGGGCCAGCCTCAACTGCACTGTCTCAGCTCCACTCCTGGCTCCTTTCCAGCACCGGCCCCTGTCTCCTGTGGGTCCCCCTGTGGGCCTATGGCCCCGACCCTTTGGTCAACAATCATGTCCTCTGTGCCAGGCCCCAGACTGGGTGTTGGGGACCCAGAGTTCCATCAGCCTCGGTGTCCAGGAGCCCCAAGGCCATGGGCCAAGGCTTCTGCCTGTTGCCTCCTGCCTTCAGCCCCTTCCTGTCCAGGGGATCGGCCTCCTCCAAGCCAGTCCCCCCATCTCTCTCCTCTACCTCTCTACCACTGCCCTCACCATCCTCAGCCCAGCACCCTCCCCAGGAGCCCCGGCCTCCGCCTGCCACCCAAGCCCTGTCTATAAATAACTGTTCAGGCCCCACCGATCACAGCCCCACCATGGGCCCGGCCTCAGCCCGCCAGGGCATGCTCCGAGGAAGCCAGTGGCCCCCGCGCTGGGTCTCAGGCCAGGAGTTCCAGGGAGGAAACCCTGACTTCCCACTGATAGCAAGCCAGGAGGGCAGCGGGTGGGCTGGCGGGTTCATGGGCAGGCAGGCAGGCGTCCGAGGGCCACGGGTTGGGCTGGTGGAGGAGTCCCAGTACTCACAGGGGGGACGAGGGGAAACCCTTCCATTTTGCACGCCTGTAACATCCAGCCGGGCTCCGAGTCGGTCAGATCCCCTGCCTCGGTGGGGGCCAATGCAGAGCCCCTCAGGATGGGGTGCCCCGTCGGGGGCTGGACGGTCGTGGGGCGGGTGCAGGGCTCAGGCCTGCCCCCTGAGCTACAGGAGCCCTGCGTGAGCCCCCTCCCTTGACATTGCAGGGCCAGCACAAGTTCCTGATTTTATCGAAGGGCCTGCCGCTGGGAGATAGTCCCCTTGGGGTGACATCACCGCCCCAACCCGTTTGCATAAATCTCTTGCGCTACATACAGGAAGTCTCTGGCCGGCTGGGGCAGGTGGTGCTCAAAGGGCTGGCCTGGGAAGCCATGGGGTCCAGGCCCCCTGCCCAGAGGAAGCTGCGACTGAGAGGGATGACTTTGGGGGCTAAGCTGGGGAGGGAGGTTGGAAGGGAGAACGTGTAGCTCCGCCACACCACTGGGAGGCTTTTGCTCTAACCCAACAAATGTCTGCTGCTTTTGAGATCCCTATGTAGCCAACAGTCACCTTGTTGGGGTCAGAGCTGGAAGGGGTGGCCTCCTGGGGCCTCCACTTTCTGGGATCAGCCTTGCTAGGTGAGGGCTCTGATCTGGCAGGCTAGGCCTGCCTCTTCCTGTGGCCCTGCACCCCCACTGCCCAGGCTGTCCCTCGGCTGAGGCTGGGCTCCGGGGTAGGGTCTTCAGCACACTGCTGCTTTCTTCCTTTCTTCCTTCCCTCTGAGTCTATTCACATGGGCTTCTCTTCCACTAGAAGAGGGTCCTGGGTCCTTATACCCTTCCCTCCCAGCTTCTTGAGTACCACATTCAAATCCCTAGGGCTCTGTTTCCAGCCCAGGTTTCTCAGTTTCCCCATCCCTTGCCAATGCCTGAATATGAATGTAACCTTCCTAGTTTACAAACCTTTCTTGCCTATCCACCATTCGTCTGTTTTCCCGTGCATCTGTTTGTCTGTCTGTTTGTCCATCCAGCTATCCATTCATCAAGCCCACCATGCATTCACTTATTTGTCCATTTATCCAACTCTCCATATATTTGTTCATTCATTTGTCAGTCAATTCATCCACCCACCCATCTGCTTATCTACTTGTCTGTCTAGCCATCTATATGTCCATTAATCAGCCCGTCCACCTACTATCAGTCCATCAGTCCACAATTCCATCTGTTTATCCATCTATAAACCTGCTCATGCATTCATCCACCTATGCATCCGTCCACCCATCCACTCATCCACCCATCTACCCATCCACTCATCTGTCCATCAACCCATCCATCATCCACCTATCCCTTCATTCATCCATCCATCCATCTACCAGTCCACTCATCCACCCATCTACCAGTCCACCCACCTACCATTCCACCCATCTATTCATTCACCTATCCATCCATTCACCTATCACCCATCACGCATCCATCCATCCCTCCATTCATCCATCCATCCATTCATCCACCCATCCACCCATCTACCCATCTACCCATTTACTTATCTGCCCATCCACCAATGCAGCCATCTACCCATTCACCCATCCACTCATCCACCCATCCATCCTTCCAGTCATCCATCCAGCCATCCACCAATACACCCATCCACTTATCTATCCATCCATCCAGCCATCCATCCATCCAGCCATCCATCCATCCATCCATCCATCCATCTATCCATCCACTCATCCACACATCTACCAGTTCACTAATCCACCCATCCACCAATCCACCCATCTACCCATTCATCTATTAATTCATCCACCTATCCATCCATCTACTCATTCATCTATCTGTCTATCCACTTATCCATCCATCCATGCATCTTCTCAGTGTTGAGTTCCAGGCTCTAAGCTGAGCTCTAGGAAAACAAAAAAGTATTATACAAGACCCCTGCCTTCAGAGCGCTCCTGATCATTTCTGGAGAGTTGAGGGATGAGTAGAGGTGTTTTGTGTGTGTGTCCCAGTGATCTCTGGTGAGTCCTCTCTGCTGGGAAGGAACTTTTGAGCATTCAGTGTCCTCCCCTGTATAATCTAGCCCCTTGCTTTAAATTTCCACTCCACTAAGACAGGCCTGCCTTCTTGCCAGTGGATTCCCAGGCCTCAAGTGTTTTTTCGTTAGCAGCAAACACCAGAATTCCACAGCTTTGGGCTCACCATTAGATCTACTTGACTTCCACCTTCACTGACTTTTTGTATCTGCACTTGGGACTCTCCAAAGGCTCCAGGCCACAGGTCCTCAGGGCTCCCTAGGAACCTGACCAAGGCCTTTCCCCAAAATGAGGGGAAGGACAGACTGGCTTGGCATCAGTTCCATCCTCGTTCCCACTTCCCCATCAAGAAGGCCAACCCCCAGCTGACTGGGTGCAGTGGGGTGTGTAAGGTTATCCACTCCACAAGATCTAGGCCCTGCTTAATGTGTTCATTCATTCATTCATTCATTCATGTGTGTGTTATCATCTTGCTTTGGTTTGTTTATATGCTTATTTATTCATTCATTCATTCAATCACTTTTTTGTATAAATATAAGGGGTACAAGTGCAATTTTGTTCCATGGATAGATTGCATAATGGAGAAGTCTCGGCTTTCAGTTTATCCATCACCGGAATAATGTACATTGTGCCCTTTAAGTAATTTCTCATCCCTCACCATGCCTCCCCACTCTCCCACCCTTGCAGACCTCCAGTGTCTGTCATTCCACAGTCTATGTCCATGTGTACACATTATTTAGCTCCTCCTTATACATGAGAACAGGCAGTATTTGACTTTCTGTTTCTGAGTTGTTTCACTTATGATAATGGCCTCCAAGTCCATCCATGTTGCTGCAAAGACATAATTTCGTTCTTTTTTATGGCTGAATAGTATTTCATTGTGTGTGTGTGTGTATATATATATATATATACACAATATAACATTTTATTTTTTCAATCATCCATTGATGGACACTTAGGTTGATTCTGTATCTTTGCTATTATGAATAGTGCTATGATAAACATACAAATGCAGTATCTTTTTGATATAGTGATTTATTTTCCTTTGGTTAGATACTTAGTGAGATGGCTGGATCAGATGATAATTCTTTTTCTTTCTTCTTTTCTCTTTTTCTTGTTCTTTTGAGACTGAGTTTCGCTCTTGTCACCCAGGCTGGAGTGCAGTGGCACAATCTCGGCTCACTTCGCCTCCTGGATTCAAGTGATTCTCCTGGCTCAGCCTCCCGAGTATGTGGGATTACAGGTGCCCGCCACCATGCCCAGCTAATTATTGTATTTTTAGTAGAGGCAGAGTTTCGTCACGTTGGCCAGGCTAGTCTCGAACTCCTGATCTCAGGTGATCCACCTGCCTTGGCCTCCCAAAGTGCTGGGGTGACAGACATGAGCCACCATGCCCAGTCAATTCTTTTTCTTTTGAAACAGAATGTTGCTTTATCACTGAGGCTGGAGTGCAATGGCGTGCTCTCGGCCCACTGCAGCCTGGACCTCCCGGGCTCAAGCGATCCTCCCGCCCCAGCCTCCAGAGTGGCTGGGACTACGGGTGTGTGCCACCTGTAGTCTCGTCTAATTTTCTGTATTTTTTGTAGAGATAGGGTTTCACCATGTTGCCCAGACTGATCTTGAACTCCTGGGCTCAAGCAATCCGCCTGCCTCAGCCTTCCCAAATGTTGGGATTATAGGTCTGGGCCTAGTAAGGAGGACAGACATGAATGAGGCATCCTCGGAGCCTCCAGCTGCTTACAGGCCTGCAGAGGGTCATGTGAGCAGATAGTGGGGCAAGAGGGGAGGTGCCAGGTACACTCGGTCTCAAAGGTGCATTTGGGAATGATTGATGGGGTCAGCGTCCCAGATAGGATGGCTTAGGGAAGCGTGTGAGGGGAAGGCATGTCTGGCCGAGAATCAACTTAAGCAAAGGAAAAGAACAGGAAAACAGGGAGCCACCGTCCTTGCAGCTGGAAGCAAAGCAGGACAGGAAGGCAAAGAGCCTTGAGTGCCAAGCCAAGGAGCCTGAGTCATGTACAGGGATGGCTGTGGAGCCTTTGCTGGTTTTAAGTAGGGAGTATGGGGCTCTCCTCCGTGGGTACAGCCAAGAAACCAGGTAGGCTACATGTTCCCAAGGCCTAAGATTCAAGGGGCTCCAGAAGAAGGAAGATATCCCATTGCATCAAGTATGGCCAAGCTCAAGGGGCCTGGGTGAGGAAGTCCATAAAAGAGATCCAGAGTCAATAACCTCTGGAAATAGGCAGAATGTCCTCTGCCCTCTGGGCAATGCTAGAGTGTCCTCCCAGCTCCTCTTCCCGCTCCTCCCCCTCCCCAAGGACACCAGAAGCCTCATCCCCTTACATCCCCAGGGACCCGTGGTAATTCAAATTCTTGGGAATAGGAGGACCCAGATTCCAAGAACAGGAAGGGTTTGGTAATCCACAACCTCACAGTTAGTAGTTCCTTAAAAAGGAAAAGAAAAAAAGTTTTGAGTGCTTGGCACCATGCTGGGTGCTTCCACCCTATGATCTCACATCACCAAGAGAGCCATCCATTCAACTGAGGCCCAAGAGATGAGTGACTGGCCCAGGGTTGCACAGCATGTGCGGTAGAGAGCTGGGGCATGAACCCTGGCTGCTGGGGCTCTAGGAAGGGCTGGGTCTTCTGGAGAGGGAAGGAAGCTAGAGGAAGAACGGAGAGACGGAGAAGCTGAGGCAGGGAGCAGGGAGGAAGGGGAGGGGGAAAAGAGAGGAAAGGAAAGAGAAGCAAAATAACAAGATAAAAGGAGGGAGCAGAGAGAAGGGAGAAACTGGACAAGAGGTGAGGAGGCAGCGTGAACCTCAGGCAAAAAAGAGGAGAGCAGGGCGAGGATGGAGGAGGAGGACAGAGGAGGGACAACGAGGAGGTTTTGGGAAGACAGGGACAGTGGCTGGCTGGAGGTGGCGGGACCCCAGAGCAGCACATTCCCAGCTTCCCCCTTCTGCAGCGGAGCAAAAGAGGGGCGGAGAAGGTCCTGGATTTGCAGGAGGTCACCAGGTGCATTGTGCTGGAATGTGGCTCCCTTTCATTCTGGTCACCAGGAAACTGGTTTGAAACCAAAAATATTGGAAGCTCTAGGGACTGAAAAACAAAAACAAAAACAAAAATCATTTTTAATTATTTTATTTTTTGAACAGATAACATGTGCACATGGTACAAAATACAAAAGGTAAAAAAAAGGTAAACCACTGCCCAGCTCCCCTTCCACAGACTAGCCCACCTGTTACCTGATCTTGTGTTTTGGTCTAGAAATCGTCTACACAGCATGTAGCAGATATATTTTTAAAATTTTTACACGGAGGGGGGCACACTAAACATATTGTAGCTCCCTTGTTTTTTTCCCCAATGTCCATGTCACACCCATGCAGAACTGTCTTGTCCTTTTGAGATTTTTGCATTTTCAGTTTTTGTGGGTACATAGTCGGTGTGTTTATTTATGGGGTACATGAGATATTTTGGTACAGGCATAAATTATGTAATAATCACATCAGTAAATGGAGTATCCACCACCTCAAGCATTTTTCATTTCCTTGTGTTACCAACATTCCAATTATACTCTTTTAGTTATTTTTAAATACGCTATAAATTATCGTCGACTGAATGGCCGTATAGTATTCCACTATTTGGATGTACTAGGGTATTTTTAAGTCATGAGAGACATCGTTCATTTAGAAGAGTAAATAACATTTATGTGCAGTTTAAAGAATAATTATAAAGCAGCCTGGCGCGGTGGCTCACGCCTGTAATCCCAGCACTTTGGCAGGCCGAGGCGGGCAGATCACAAAGTCAAGATATTAAGACCATCCTGGCTAACACGGTGAAACCTCGTCTCTACTAAAAATACAAAAATAAATTAGCTGGGCATGGTGGTGGCGCCTGTAGTCCCAGCTACTCGGGAGGCTGAGGCAGGAGAATGGCGTGAACCCGGGAGGCGGAGCCGAGATCACGCCACTGCACTCCAGCCTGGGCGACAGAGCGACGCTCCGCCTCAAAACAAAAACAAAAACAAAAAAACGTTGCCGGAACCCCAGAAGAATCCCCAAATGTCCCTTACTTCCCTCTAGAAGTAACACTGTCCTAACTTTCTCGGTAATTTTCTACTTCTTTTCTTTTCTTTTCCTTTCTTTCTTTTTCTTTTTTTTCTTTTGTTTTCTTTCCTTCTTTTTTTTCTTCAGACAGAGTCTCACCCTGTCGCCCAGGTTGGAGTGCAATGGCATGATCTTGACTCACTGCAACCTCTGCCTCCCAAGTTCAAGTGATTCTCCTGCCTCACCCTCCCATGTAGCTGGAATTACAGCTGTGTGCCACCACACCCAGCTAATTGTTTGTATCTTTAGTAGAGACAGAGTTTCACCATGTTGGTCAGGTCTCAAACTCCTGACCTCATGATCTGTCCACCTCAGCCTTCCAAAGTGCTGGGATTACAGGCGTGAGCCTCTTGCTTTCCTTTATAACTATCCCTTATAGTTCAGTATTTATTTTAATGGGTTTTAATCTTTATATTAAAAGAATCACAATGTAAATATCCTTTTGGGTCTTTCTTCTTTTCCCCACCATGTTATTACATGTCGCTATGGTCCATTTTCATTGCTGGATAGTATTCCAGTGTTATTTACTTACTTATTTTTTTTGAGATGGAGTCTCACTTTATCACCCAGGCTGGAGTGCACTGGCATGATCTCGGCTCACTGCAGCCTCCGCCTCCTGGGTTCAAGCAATTCTCCAGCCTCAGCCTCTCCAGTAGCTGGGATTACAGGCATGCGCAACCACTCCCAGCTAATTTTTGTATTTTTGGTAGAGACAGGGTTTCACCATGTTGGCCAGGCTGGTCTCAAACTCCTGACCTCCAGTGATCCACCTGCCTCAGCCTCCCAAAGTGCTGAGAATACAGGCATGAGCCACCACACCCAGCGTTCCATTGTTATTTAACCAGTCTCTTATCAGTATATATATATTTTTGAGACAGGGTCTCGTTCTGCACACACAACTGGAGTGCAGTGGTTCTATCATGGCTCATTGCAGCCTGGACCCCCTGGGCTCAAGCGATCCTCCCACCTCAGCCCCGCCAAGTAGCTTTAACTACTTATTGATGGACATTTGAGTTGTTTTGAGTCTTTTGCTATTACAAATAAATGCAGTAATCAATAATATATGCTAATTTACATATATGCAGGAGGATGTCTAGGAGAGATTCCCGAAAGTTGAATTACCAGGTCAAAGGGCAGTGCATTTTTCATTTTTTAATTTTATGTATATATGTATGTATGTATGTATTTTATTTTATTTTATTGAGATGGAGTCTTGCCCTGTCACCCAGGCTGGAGTGCAGTGAAGCAATCTTGGCTCACTGCAGCCTCCACTTTCAGGGTTCAAGCGATTCTCCTGCCTCAGCCTCCTGTAGTAGCTGGCATTACGGGTGCACACCACTATGCCCGGCTAATGTTTTTTGTGTTTTTAGTAGAGACGGGGTTTTGCCATGTTGCCCAGGCTGGTCTCGAACTCCTGGGCTCAAGTGATCCACCCACCTTGGCCTCCCAAAGTACTGGGATTACAGGCATGAGCAACCACGCCCGGCCTGTATTTATTTTTTATAGATGGAGTCTCCCTTTGCTGCCCAGGTGGTCTCAAACTTCTGTCCTCCAGCCATCCTCGTGCCTTGGCCTCCCAAAGTGCTGAGATTACACTTGTGAGCCACTATGCCCTCTGTGCATTGTTAATTTTGAGACAGATGATGGATAGACAGACAAGGCGGGTGCAGTGGCTCATGCCTGTAATTCCAACACTTTGAGAGGCCAAGGTGGGAGAATCACTTGAACCCAGGAGCTCGAGACCAGCCTGGGCAACACAGGGAGACCCTACCTCTAAAGAAAATTTCAAAATTAGCTTGGTGTGGTGGTGGTGGTGTGTGCCTGTGGTGCCAGCTACTCAGGAGGCTGAAATGGGAGGATTGGTTGAGCCCTGGAGGATGAGGGTGCAGTGAACCATGATCATGCCACTGCACTGCAGCCTGGGTGACAGTACAAGACCCTCTCTTAAAAAAATAATAAGACTGGAAACAGATATTGTCACATTGCCATTAATAAAAGTTGTATCAGCCGGGCATGATGGCTCAGGCCTGTAATCCCAGCACTCCCCAAGGCGAGTGGATCTCCTGAGGTCAGGAGTTTGAGACCAGCCTGGCCAACATGGTGAAACCCTGTCTCTACTAAAAATACAAAAATTAGCTGGGTGTGGTGGTGCACACCTGTAGTCCCAGCTACTCAGGAGGCTGAGGCAGAAGAATAGCTTGAACCTGGGAGTCAGAGGTTGCAGTGAGCCAAGATGGGGCCACTGCACTCCAACCTGGGTGACAAGAGCGAAACTCCGTCTCAAAAATAAATAAATAATAAGAAGAATAAAAGTTATACCTATTCACTGTCCTACCAGCCCTGCTAGACAGTGCAGCTTCCCAACCTACTAGACAAGTGGGAGACCCTGTAGGGGCTGGGCCCTGCAGAGTGACAGGGAGGCTGGGCAGGTCTAGGGTAGTGTGACCCTTTGCCCCTGCTGGCTGGGTTGCTGATAGGGGCAGGCCGGGTGCTAATGCAATCGCAAGGCAGGCGGGCAACAGGAAACTTGAGCAGGTGTCCTCAAAGCTGAGTCCACAGAGGGGAGCACGACCCCTGACCTCATAGATCCCTCAGCCTTGGCCCAAACGAGCTAGAAAATGAGGAAATGTCCCCCCACCCACTTTCCTAGCAACCTGTCCCCACAGGGTGTGACAGGGCATGTGAGAACACACAGGCCTCAGACCAAGAACTGGGAAAGTTGACCAAAAAGAGCTGAGCCTGTGGACAGAAATGGCAGTCTTGCAACTTCCTCTCATGGTTGAGACACTGGGAGAGGCTCCTTGGGCCCCAGCCAGGGTCACCTGGGCCCCTCCGAGCTCCCCAAGTTTTGCTGACAGCACTGGGCTGGCTCTTCGGTGTATTAAGGCCTTCAACAATGATTGACTTGGGGCCTCTGCATGACAGGCAGCCCAAACAGGCAGGGCCCTTTATTCCCGCCCTCATGGGCCTGCTCTTCAGCAGGGGAAGACCATGATGAACTCATGACAGTGAGTGTCCCATTGCATGTTGGAAGGTGACACTCGCCATAGGAACAAGGGCACGCAGCTGGGTAAGGGGCTTGTGGTAGGGGACAGAGTGGGTGGGGACAGTTTGCAGCATTCATGAGAGCGGGCAGGGCAGGCTTCACCAAGAGAGGTGCATCCAGCAAACCCCGGAAGCAAGTGAGGGAGCGAGCCAGGGAGAAGAATTCCGGGCAGAGGGACTAGTCAGTGCCAATGCCCCAGGCAGGAGCGTGAGCCAGGGACGCTAAGGAGGCCTATGGGGGCCCAGTCAGTGGCAGAAGCTCAGACAGGGCCAGTCAGGTCAGGTCATGGTATGGAATTTGGCTTTGACTCTAGGAAACGTGGAGTGTGTCGCAGGGTGTGGCCTCTCTTATTCGAATCTGAAGCTGGTGCCGTGGTACAGATGAAGAGACTGAGGCTCAGAAGTGGCCATGACTTGGCACAGCATGGCTTGGCCAATCCAGGGTGTAGGTGATGAGGCTCTCGCCCAGGTCTGCCTGAGACCTAGACCCCAGCCGTACCCCATGGCAGTGCTCCAGTGCCTGTGGGTGGTGACAGGCAAGCACTGGAGGGTGCCCGTGCTGGGCACTCACTCATCCCACCCTCACGTAAGCCTATGAGGCAGGCCTTGTCAGTGCCATTTTGCAGATGACAAGTGCAGTTCCCGGAGGTGAGGGGCACGGCCAAGGGCACAGAGCCGGGAGGCAGGGCAGGAGGCCATCGTGGTTCTCAGGGCCCCTCGGGCCTGTGCCTCCGTGGCTGTCCCTATCTCGAGGTTCTCTGATGGATATTGCCCCACCTAAAAGTCTTCCTGAGCTCTCGCCTGTCCTCAAGCTGAAGCCCAAACCTCCAAGGCCTGTGCGGGAACCTCCAACGCCCGGAGTCCGGCCAGCCGTTCTGCCGTCCCCAGCCCAAGTGGACAGCCCCACCTCCGCCTCCAGCCAGAGGACAGCGCTCAGCATTCCCAGAA